GTCTTATAAAATTACACCCAGCTTGTTTCCAGTATGTTGGCCTGATTTGTATTTGGGTGATAGATGAACAGCCCCTTTTTTCTTCTCTTCCCATAATCCACTCCGCTTTGATTCTGTTCTTGCTCCTTAAGTGAACCATGAATCACTTTTGGATGGTTTGTCTTGCATACTCTTCATTAACTCATTTTTCTTTTAGGGGGATTAATTTGTAATGTTTTGTATTCCAGCACTTTCTTTTGGGCTGTGTGTGTTTGTCTTTTACTTCAATTTTGGAGTGAAATGACGTGTTTTTCCTTTTTTTACCCCCTTTTTCTAAACACATTAATAAAAAAACATTTTCATGTGAGCTAATTGATTGTTTCACTTAAGATAGAACAGCTTGTGCTTGTCCTAACCCTAGGACAAGCACAAGCTGTCCTAACCCTAAACCCTGACGCTAACTCCAAGACAGTTGGATTTGTGAAATAAAAGATAGGTTATGCTTTTATTCATACATATGATGCTCATTTCCAAAAGAATCTGGCCATAGATCAGCTATTTGTCTGTGCATCTTGTTACTTTTTTAAATTACTGTGGAGTTACAATGTCTAATCAAATTAGCATCAAACCTGTTGAAAACTGTGCACGTGCACACATGCACGCGTGTGAGTGAATATGTGACGCGCATCCTTTATTGCTTCTTTAGCTCAGAGAAAGCCAGTATTGTTTCCGGCCGTTAGCTCACGCAAACATCCTGATGCATAGCATGTGTACACATGCACACGATTAACCCGCAAGCATCTATAAGCATCTACGCAAACCAGCCCAACTGGACAGGTTGGAGCATCATTTCAGATGTTTTTCACCTTATGAAAATTACAATAGAACATAGGCCATTACAATAGAACACAATGAAAACCATAACGCTGATTTATTTTCTTTTTCCTGCTCCAAGAGTATATGAACTCTGAAGTTTTCCTTTACCATCATACAGCAGTATGCCGACAAAACTTTCTGTAAACAGCTTGGCTAAAGTGTGTCTGAACGACCCTGGGACGGCTTCTGACATCATTGCTGGGTTTAATTAGACTGCTGGGGAAAATCCCTCGCGCTTCGCCAAATGAGCTAGAGCACCACGCTCCACATCTGTTTGCTAACTTTCTAGGAAACGTTGTGAGAATTTGTAGAAATCGGTGCACTCGTGAGCATGGAGACTGTGTAACAGAGAGATGCAAGGACATGAAAACAAGAGTTACCAATGAAAGACGTGACACTCTGTGAACATGTGAATTAACATTGTAACACCTGTATGCATGACACACACACACACACACACACAAATACACACAAACGCATACACACACAGCAGCTATGAACAAACAGAGCCAAATAAGTCGTATCGGACTTTCTAGAAAGACAAGAACTACTCCAACACTTTTTTCCTTCCATAAGTTTAAATGTGGCACCTGATTGCATTAAACATACACTCCATGTTAACTTTACAGTATGAAGTCTGTCTTTCATTGTTAAAAACAATAATTTTACCTTTAAAGGGAAGTTTTGACGCAAAAGAACTAAGGATCTTTTCAGCTTTCTCGCATTTGCATTAAAACATAAATCAAAATAGGTAGTTTTTTTTCTTTGAGTGTTAAAATTCCAAAGCATGATGCAAATGTAGATTCATTTTTTAAACTTGGGAAGAAAAATGTTCAGGAATTATGGCAGCATTGAGATGACTGCAAAATCCACAGGGAGCAAAGACAAGAACACGTGTTGATGAGCCTTTGAGCAGCTTGACACGTTTGATGACTCATCTGTTAGCAGATCAAAATGGTTAGTCTTTTATCCTCATGAATGTAAGAGTGTGGGAGAACCGTGTAACCTGCCAAATCTCCTCAATCAAAATCACCCAATGAGCAAATTAGCTTATTTTGTCAAATATGAGCGCTAGCCAGAGAAAACAGGGGTGGAAGCTCATAATGCATCAAGGCCTGATTTGTCAGGGTGTGGTGCCCTGATCACTGTGTGATTGTATCTGTGATGGCATGATGGAGTGCAGGAGAGAGGGAGTCTGTTTCGACTAGAGAGCGTATGATGAAAAGTAGATGGTGAGACATGTGATGGAGAGGTGGATAAGAACTGGTGACAGTGTAGACAAAAGACCAATTATGGGAGAATGACGACTGGGAGATGAGAAAGCAAAAATTTTGAAGATAATGAGAATAATAAGGCCGTGGGGAGTTGAAACTGAGTTTAATGATCACGATAATACTCTTAAGAAGTGCTGGGAGGTTGTTATTTTTGGACAGAATTACTCAGTGTTCGGACTGTTCTCCTGTCTTCTTCTTCCCAGTTTATGGAGTTTATCATGAAATGGAGGGCATGTGTTAAGTCACCTTACCCTACATTAGTGTCTCAAGTGTCAAAACAGTAAACAAAGTGGAAACTGGCTTTGATACAGAGCCATCATTTGTTTTACTCTTGAGCTTTAAAATGCACTTTCTCTCCTTATAAGACCAGAACTTTTATATGGTGAGTATTTTTGCTTTCTCCAGGATATATGGGATTAGTAGGACCCAAGTAGTTTAATAACTAGACTGAAACCATTACCATTTCTTAGGCAATTTGCTTGAAATTCAAAGTTAAAGCTAAGAGGATCCTTTGTTAGATAGAGCAATGCTAAACATGAAATATTCATGTTGTTCTGAAATAATAGATTATTTCAGTTTGCAAATGGGAAATAAAATCTTTACAGGTTTCTCAGGTAGTGTGCGCCTCACAGCAAGAGGGTTCTCAGGTGGAATCCCTGGAGGATTTCAGTGTGGAGTTAGCATATTCTCCCTGTCTCTGTGTGGGTTCCCTCTGGGTACTCCTGCGTCCTCCCACCTTCCAAAAACACACACATTAGGACAACTGAACACTCCAAATTGCCCCTAGGAGTGAAAGTGAGTGCGTGTGGATGTTTTTCTCTGTGTGACCCTGTGATGGACTGGGGACCTGTACAGGGGGTACCCGCCTCTCACCTAAAGTCAGCTGGGATAGGCTACACCCCACCCCCCCGTACACAAACACACACCCCCGCAACCCAACTGGACATAAGAAGTACAGAAAATGGCCGGATGGAGATTTTAAATTTGTTAAGATATTGGACGTGTGGACAGCAATCTCTTCTGGCAAAAAAACAGCCACCATTTTCATAGATTTTGAATTGTCGATGATTCTTAAGTGTTTTTGACAGCACTCTAAGTAAGGGATTTATTAAAGCGAATGCACCAACTCCAGTGCTCCACTGGCTCCAGACGTCTTGTGAGCAGTCATTAACTGATTCTGTCATCATAAAACGTGCGTGCTGAACGCTGTCACCCCTCTGTATTCCATGATGCCATGCTCCTTCAAGCTTTAGCTTTGGCTAATGGCTCCCGTGAGATCCCTTCAAAGCCAGACTGAAGTCGACTGAAAACTGTCTGTTGATGGAGACTAGGTCAGGGTGACACACATACACAACATTCACACGTCCAGGGCGTGCGTGCACGGGCGCACGTGTTCACACGGCCGCACTACAGAGCGCCGTCTGTCCAGGCTGCCAGCTGACATCACCTCTTCTAAAGTGCCCCCTGTTTTACATTGGCAGGGGCCTTGTTTGGATTGGGCTGAGTTATGAATTGGGTCAGGCTGAAACTAATACTGCTGAAGTGGGGTGAAGGAAACCTAAAGCTACTATGAGACTATGAGAACGTAACCAGACCTCGGGGTTTGGGCATTTTAAGTCTGGGGTCTGTCTGGGCTACAGCAGAGGTTGTTGTGCAGAGCGGGTCACCTACAGCTGGAGATGAGGTCGGTGTAATGGTCAAAGTGAGGGGCCGAGGATCTCCCTTTAATTGTCAGAGCAAATAAGGGTGATTGTTTGGCTTATGGACAGCAAGGGAAAGACTTATTAAGCGCTGGTAATTAGGGGGTTAAAATGTGACCCTGGTGGGAAGAAACTTGAATTGTCACTCATTTTAACAGACTTATGGGAGCAATTGACTTAATGTCTGACAGGTCTTCTTGGAGAAGAAAGAAATTGCTTCAGAAATAGCCTCAGCTGCTCTTTAATATGTTTTGCAGTTGAACGCTCTGAATAGAAAGATTATTGTTTTTTAACTTATGACAATGCCGGAGAGGCTGGTTGAGATCTTTGAGAGGAATCCTGATTGGTTGCTTAGAAGATGGGTGTGTGTCAAATGTTCAACACTGCTTTGCCTTTGGCATCAGCATCACCCTTTTGTGAGAGACGTGTGATGATGAGCGCAATAAACTGTAGCCTGCATATCAGCAATTCAGCTGGTCAGTTTAGCAGAAGTTAACACCTTTTCCTCTTTTTAACATTTTGGCAAAATTTGTTTTTTGTTGTCTATTCCAACAGTGTGGAAAAGTCTCCACTGAACTGCTATCCTTTTTAGGTTTAAAAGATTCATGAAATCATAAAAGAAAAACTTTTTTTGCCTGTATTAATCGAGGTAATGTTTTGAATGTCATGATCATTTTCTTTACATAAAGAATATAATGGAAACTGATTAGGCAACAGACTGGATAGGGGTCAGTGTGTCATAATGCATAGAAAGCTTTTAATAAAGCGTGTTTTACGACTTACTCATGGTATTCTCGTTGCACGTTGCTTAGGTAGTGGATGCAGTGTTTAACAGCATAAACATTAGCTTTCACCTCCTTACAGCTGCCTGCTGTGTACCAGAGAAGGAAACCTGGCACCTCATTTGATGACCATTCAGCAGAGTTTTTTTTTTTCTCATTCATTTATCTTGGATAAACTGAATAGTAGGGAAAGCATAGAGAGGAGATTGGGTTTTGGGTGTCTAAGAAGTATTATGCAAACCTTCTCTGGAACCACAAAATGAGAATGCTGTCACAAATCTTTATGGGAAAGCACCACAGTTCTCATTAGGCCGTGTTCCTGCCTCACTCGGTTTCTGTCCGATAAATGGAAAGGGGCGTGTGTCCAAAAAAGGCTGATGGCATCTGACCTTTCGGTCCTTTGCAGAGGATGAGGCCTCCGTGGATCAGGTTTTGCTGTTGCACATGCAAAAGCTGCTCAATCAGATCAGGATCCGAGGAGCTGGAGGGCTTGGACGGCTGGTTGAATGCCTTTGGCTTCGTATCATGCCAGTGGGTGGGTGCTGCCATGGCCATTGATTTGGACCATTGATATGGGTGGGTGTGTTTGGATTACAGCAATATGTAGCTGTGCGTCAAAATAATATTCTCCTGATTGCCAGACACTCAAGACTTCCCAGCAAAACATGGCATTGAAGCAAAAACGTTATTCACTGCATCACTCACTGTTTTTTTTTCTGACTCTTCAGAGTACCAGAAAGCTTTTGGTTCTTGCTTTGTCAGATGCCTTTTAAATGGATGTTTAGGGATTAGGTGGATTTAAAGCCAATGTGTGCAAGGGAAAAATAGATCTTTTTACTGATTTTGTTGAGATCTGCTTTATTGAATCAAAGAAAGGACATGTTCATATCCTCACTCAGAAATAAGACAAGACTACTGACGGATTCTGAGATGCCTTTATTTCTCAAAGCCTCAGAAATGCTTTGATGGAACAGATTACGTGGTTTCACAGTTGTCATTTACAGGCAGGGTATGCTTGCTCAGATCACGGTCAGTTTGGAATGTGTTTGAGACAGATTGACATGTTCTCTAGCACAGCTTTCCCGTCATCAGAGCTGTCAGAGAAACCCATCTGCTTTATGTCCTTTGGTCAAAAGCAAAGCAATCCAAACTGTTCCCATCATCTGCACATTACGATAAAAAAAATAAATGAAGTGAGCTGTCAGAGAAAGAAAATTGATCACTGTGCTTCTTTCTGTGACAGATTTAATCCACAGAACAGAAGAGTGTACTGTCTGAGTTTAGGTTTGTACAGTGTGATAACTTTTCCTAATATTTGTCTCTTTTTTTGCACATTTAGGATTAATTTCTGAAACTGACAGTGTGAAATGGAACACACTGTTAGTAAAGGTTAAGACTACAATAAGAATCTGGAACAGTTCTAATTGTGATTCATCTGATAATTTATACTCTTAAATCCGTTTTCTGATTTTGAAAACATTGTAAAAACATTTTAAATTTCCCTGAAATCTGGGATAGGAATAACCGGCATAGAACATCTATGGATGGATGGATGGATGGAT